TCCCCAGACCTATATGGGTTTGTGTGGGAGGCAACCAATCCATGTGTCTTTCTCACATAGATGTTTCTGTTTTTCTCTCTCTGTCTCTCACACTCTATCTGAAGATAGACAGAAAAATATCCTCGGATGAGGACTAAAGAAAATGGTTAGGAGTAAGATCACTGGGAATAATGGGAAACATTTTCAGCTGATTTGAAAAAGACCAATAAATGATACCATAATGTTTTTATTTTTTGACATAAGTAAGGAATGCTTTACAACCACCCTGATTTCAGCTTTTTTCAGTAAAAAGAAAATAAACCAAAAAAGAAAACTAAAAGTAATTAGAATTAAAAAACAAAAAATTTAAAGTAGCTCTTCTACTTTTCTTCACATGAAAAACACTAGTATGTAAAAGCCTTTATATAAAAGGAAAATGAAAATATTTTCCTAAAGCTGGTGGGCTAAAATTTTTTTTGTATTGAAAGTAGAGGATTGTACTACCCAACACTTGAATTATATAGTAAACCTCCTAGAGCAAGCTCACTACTTTATGATTCAAAAACAAGAATGAGAAACACTTAAAAATATATACAAATGAATAATCTAAATAAAATGCACTGTCTCCATCCAAAAAAAATAGAAAAAAATAACTGCCACAAATAATTCCAATAATAACAAAATACAATTCAAAGCCACATTTTAAACTATGACTAAAAATGCAAAATATGTACTGCCTTCAAAGAAATAATTCAGCATTGTTTACTACTTTTTAAAGTAGGCAGTTATAGACAATGGAAAACAAATATGAAACTTAAAATTGAAAATTTTTTTTTTTTTCTTTATCCTCAACCGAGGACATTTTACCATTTTTTGTACAGATAGAGTGGGAGGGAGAGAGAGGAAGGGAGAGAGAGTGAGAAACATCGACGTGAAGGGACACATCGAGTGGCTGCCACCCACACGACCAACCAGGGCTGGGGACAAACTGCAACCGAAGTACGTGCCCTTAGCGGGAACCGAACCCGGGTCTCTCTGGACCGCAGGCTGACGCTCTAACCGCTGAGCCAAACTGGCCAGGGCTGAAAATGGAAAATTTTAAAGTAAACTTTTTAAAAGACGTATAACGAACACCTTTAAAGTTGAATACTTAAAAGATGAAGATTCAGTGTCCTATATAATTTGGTCTCACTTTTGAGAATTTATAGAAACCTACTGATAGAGCAAGGGACAAACATAGAAAGAAAACTTTGAGTAATAAGTATATAAGGATGTAAAAAGTTCAACTCATAAAACATTTAATAAGCAATATATTTATAATAAAAAATGATTGTTAAAAAGTAGTGTTCACTCAATAAATATCATAAAATAGGAATTCTCACATTTAAGGCAATATTCTGAAATAAACAATATTGGTTCAAAGTAGGCTAAATCTAAATCTGTTATTTCACACAAAAAGCAGCTTCCTAGTGCCCTGGCCAGTGTGGCTAAGTGGTCAGAGTGTCAGTTCCAGCACATAAGGGTTTCATGTTCAATTCCCAGTCAAGGACACCTACCTGGGTTGCAGATTCAATCCCTGGCCCCAGACTGGGCTTTTGCAGAAGGCAACCAATCAGTGTGTCTCTCTCACATCCATGTTTCTCTCCCTCAACCCCTCTTCCTTCCACTCTCTCTCTCAAAACAAAAACAAAAACAAAACAAAACAAAAAATCAATGGAAAAATATCCTCAGGTGAGGATTAACAACAACAACAAAAAACTTCCTAGAAATGTCAGCAAAGCGAATTCACTTTGCTTATCTGATAACATTTTTAAAACAAATGTCCTTGAAAATTTTGCATGTTAATATCATTTTCGTTTACTACAATTTCTCCATTTGCCTCAATAAATTTGTCTTATGAATGTGCCTTTCAACTTTGAAAAAAATTGAATGTATCAATGTTCATGTGAATAACACAGCCATGTCTGAAAATGTCATTGAATTTTTAAATTAAAATTATTGGTGGGTGTGACATTGGTTAATAAGATTATATAGGTTTCAAGTGTAGATTTCTAAGACACATGATCTGTATACTACACTGTTTGAAAATGTCACTCAATTTTAATGGTGGAGATAAGCTACTCTTACTTTGATAATAGTCTTATTTTTCCTTTATGAAAGAAAAAAAAACAGCAGTTTTTGGCCTATGTAATTCTTAGACTCAATATATTTTTAGTTTCTTCACTTTCTTTTTTAACTTAGCAAAGCAGCTAGAAGAGTGAAACCTTCCATAACTTTAATAAAATGAGTAAATTGTAGGCAGACAGATTTTGTTGCAAAAGGTAGCTATGTAGTAGTCTCCAGCCTCTGTAGACATTCATTTCATACTATTTTAATAATCCATTACAATAAAATAAAAATATTTTCATTTAGCCCTGGCCGGTTTGGCTCAGCGGTTAGAGCATTGGCCTGTGGTCCACAGAAACCCGGGTTCGGTTCCCGCTAAGGGCATGTACCTCGGTTGCAGTTTGTCCCCGGCCCTGGTTGGTCATGTGGGTGGCAGCCACTCGATGTGTCCCTTCACATCGATGTTTCTCTCTCTCTCTCTTCCTCTCTCTCCCTCCCACTCTACCTGAACAAAAAATGGAAAAATGTCCTCGGGTGAGGATTAAAAAAAACAAAAAACAAAAAAAACTGTCACTTAAATGTTCATGTTGAAAAAAAGGTTCAGTTTATTTATTTGTAATGCATTCTTCCTAAAGTAATAACAACTGATATAAAAGCTAATTCCCACATATAACTATATATAAATATACTCTCATAAAGAAGCTCAATTCAAGTTGATAAGTGTTTAGTTTCCAAAAATTTGAAATACATGTAATTTTCCAAAATTGCATGGGAAAATAATTTTCACCCTCATTTGCACTGGATACATAGTGTACTATGAATATATACCAGCACAATTTTTACATGTCACTGTATATCTATTGTAGTTTACCAAAATTGTAAGTCACTTGGATTTTTCACAATTGTTTTTCCATTAAACAGGCTGTATGCTTCTCTTATGCAAAATGCAAGAATGTGCCCTGGCCTGGTAACTCAGTTGGTTGGAGGGTCATCCAGATATGCCAAGATTGTGGTTCCATCCCCAGTCAGGGCAAATTAAACATTAATAATGAGATATTTAACTTCAAGGAGAAGCACAATAAATGAACAAATTACACCTTGCACATTATTTAAAACAATGCTGAAGAATTTATTGTAGGGGAGGGGTGGTTATTGTAAAATTTGATATTTGAGCAATTCATCCTTCAAAGGTAGGTTAAGTCCTACAAAAGAGAAAAAGGGTTTTCAATAACCAGTAAATCTCTTCTAAAACATAATCGAAAGATCCCTTAAAATGGCTCCAGGATACAAAGAAGCAAGTTGAAAATGATGAAATAAAAGCCACTAGGCAAATCATAATGATTATTAACAAGAGGAGAGAACTAGGTTCAAATTCCTGGCCATAGAATTTACAGAAACTTGTGATCTTAAGCAAGTTTCTTAATCCTTTTTAGCATCAATTTGTTCATTTGCAAAATTGGTCATTATGCTAAATAAGAGATAGCAAAAGAGGTATTATTAGCACTGAGCCTGGCACTTAGTAAGGGCTTAATAAGGTGGCTATAATCATTTTTGTCAAGACAAACTGGGAGGGAGGGGAGATTTCCTTAGTGACTTTGCTATAACTGCTATGGTCCTTGCTTTAATACCCACTCTTTGCTTGCTTGTTAGTATAACTACTGGTACTTTTCGGCTGTTCACTTTTAGTGCACAGGACTCTACAGAACTAGAAAGGAAGAAAAAAAAAGCGAAGGGGTTAAAAACGGAATGTTACAGGTAGCAAGAACCAGGACTCAGGCAAAACTGTGTGCTGCAGATTTTGTCATTCTACCTTTCAAATATCCTACCGATCCCCAGCCGAGCTGATGAAGGACTGGGAGGACATTTCCCGGTATATGCTTTTTAAAACAAAATCACTTCAGGCAAAAGAAAAAGTCTAGCACCCGGGACAGTACTAAAGATAATGAGTTTTTAATCACTTAAGCTGTACATTTCAGACAGAAACTAATTTTCCAGGAAAACCGATTTAACAACATTTCCCTATTCTATTCTGAATCGGAATCCTTTCCTTCACCAAGCGCTCCATATTTAAAATTCCAGTTTCACTTAAATTACTTTAAAAGCCAAATGAGATACAACTTATTATTTCTAAATGAATAAAGAAAGAAGTGAGCTTTAAAAGAGGGAAATGGCCTTCAGCCACACAGCCTGTAAAATGCAGAAGCAGCTGGGATTCGAACTGGTATCTCTGGGCTTCCCGAGTCCAAGCTGCTGTCGCTATGCTAAAGCTTGCGCCTCCACTTCTCTCCCGAAAACGTCCGCTGGAGAGAACATTTATTAGACTTTCCCCGCTCCCTTCCCTGCCGCCGACCCTTCCGTCTCACTCTACCTCCTGTGTTGGGCTATAAACACACGACAGGCCAGGTGCACTAATTCGAGGACTCTGAGTACAGTTCCGGGGAACAGACATCGGTTTTATTTTCTACGCCAGGCGGAGGTCTGGCGCCACCATCACCAGCGACAAGCGCAGGCTGGGGTCCAGCTAGGCAGCAGACCGCGCCCAGGTCCCAAGTTTTAGTCAAGGCCCACGATCAGTTCAGGCCGGGGGAAGGAAGAAGAGAAGGTTATTCTTTCCCGACACCCTGGCCACGGCGGGGGCACCGATGAGAAGGATGGCGTCGCAGTAATACTGCACACAATCAACCCTCAAGTCCTTCCTCAGCCGGTTAAACCACACTTACTTGAGCGAAGTAATTCCAAGACACAAGGCCGGCACCGGCACCGGGAAGGGCTGCTCTGTCCTCCAGCCCCAGTCACGGACAGTGACGACATCTGGGCCGCGCCGCGCAGAGCGAAGGCCCAGCGTCCGGCCACGCGCCCGACGCACAGAGCGCGCGCCCCCGGCAGGGGTGGGGCGAGCGGCGGCACCGCCTTTCAGCGTCACTCGCGGGGCTCTGCTTCTGCACGGGAGGGTTTGAACATGTCGCGTCTGAGAGGAGGAGCGGAGCGGGATTCCCGAGCGGGTTTCCGAGCTGAAAGGAGAGACTGCGGTGCCTCAGTACCCCAGGGGCTGTTAAAGGCGGCGAGGAAGAGCGGCCAGTTAAACCTGTCGGGTCGGAACCTCAGCGAAGGTAAGATCCAGAATACGAACCGATCGATTTGCGAACTGTCAGAAAGCACTTGATCGGGGCAGCCTCCTTTTCCTCTGGCCTGGCCTTGGCCACCTTTGCTTCCCGATTCTGGCCCGGATCCCCTTGCTTTGATTGAGACACTCATCACACCTTCATTGGCTCGGTCAGCCCGGCTCGGTTCCTACTTTCTCTCCAGGAATGTCTGGAATAGGGCCGAAATTTAAACGGGGCGCCTTCCGGGATTCCCAGTTATCTGTGATGGGCAAATGCTTTGTTTCTTTAGCCCTCATTTTCCTTCTCTTAATTTGATCTAAAATTCTGTACTTCATCAGCTCCTTTGTGAACTTAGTGAATGACACTGTTCCCTGACAAGATACTTTTCTTTGTGCAACTGGGCAGTCCTGCAATACAAGGAATAATGAGCAAATTTCCTAAATTTCCGATCAAGATAGATGCCGTACAGAGTGAGTTTGGGGCCATCCTGATAAACCTAATACAGATCAACTAGCACAAATTTGGATACCATGAGTGAATAATAGCCAGCTGCTCTTTTGCCTATTTGATAGGTAATGGGAAGTAGGGAAACAGACAGTATATCAATCTTCCTGTAATGGTTTCCTCTATTTATTATCGCGTTTTAGGCTGTCTGGTATTAAAACCTTCCATTTTCCTTGTAATGATTGCTTTTACTATTGTGCCAGGTATAGACCAGAAAAAATACTTGCTGAATGAATGAAAGGACATATAACTTAAAATCTCTGCTCTACCTGATACAACTCTTAATCAATGGGAACATAAGTATTTTAAAATTACAGATATGCATATGCACTTGGTTTTCCCAAAGCTTGACATTTTCCCTTATATCTGACTGGAACTCACTCCTTTGCTTTCTATAAGACTTTGCTCAGAGGCCACACCTCAGAGAGGCTCTTCCTCAATACCCTATCTATAAACATTATTGCTAACACTCTGTTCTCTTACCTGTTTAATTTTATTTTTTTAAATTGATTTGAGAGAGAGAGAGAGAGAGATGGACATCAATAAGCCATCTCTGGAACATGCCCCGACTGGGGATTGAACCTGCAACCTGGGTATGTGCCCTGACCAGGAACTGAACCTGCCACCTTTTGGTGTATAGGGTGACGCTCCAGCCAACTGAGCACACTGGCCAGGGCTTATCTGTTGAATTTTTAAGAAGCATTTATCACTCTCAGAATTTGTAGTGTATTTGTTTACTGACTTCCCTGCCCTCTCACTAGAATGTTAGTTCCATGAGGTCAGGAAGCTTAGTTTTTTTCATTGTGGTATTCCTAGCACCCAAAATAGTGCTTGGTACATAGCAGGTTCTTATTAAACATTTGTGGAAGGAGTAAGTGAGTGAATGAATATTTCCAAATAACAAAGTGGTGTGTTGGAATGTATATATTGATTGGACCCAGATGATTTAATCTGTTAAAGTTTTAGGGAGCAAATGAATTTTGACTCCTGATTCCATGATGACATGGATCAGCACTCTTTAGATTATTATTGTATAAACAGAGCCAAACACAATACCTGACACATACTAGGTACTCAGTAAAAAGATGTTGAATGGGTGAATGTACATTCATAGGAGAGAAAAGATATAAATGGGAGAGGCACATGGTATTTGTAGCTTATATTTCAAAAAGGAATTTATGTTACCATAACATTGAAGGTATTTATCTAACTTTGGCCTTCAATTTTATCTCTTGTCAGTCAACGTTAAACACCCAAACCACTGTAATTCTGAACTATCTGTAGTCCCTTATGGGGCCATGCTCCTTATTTTCATATCTTTGCTAGTGTAACTTTGAGATGCTTAATCTTGCCGTGTCTTATTTTCTCTTTTATAATGTGGTAATAATAATAATAGGACCTACTAAGGTTTAAATGAGATAATACATGTAAAGTGACTGGTACATAAAAAGCACATAGTAAAAATTGGTTATTGCTGTTCTTATTTCAGTAGCCTCCAAAGGGGTTTCCTGGATTTCTTGTATTAAATTTCACCCTGTAAATCAGTGTCATTACCAAGAATTATCTTTCCAAAACACAGATCTTATGTCACTCACAATATTTATTTATTTTTTTCTTTATTGATTTTAGAGAGAGAGAAAGGGAGAGGGAGAGAGAGAGAAAAACATCGATGTGAGAGAATATCGATTGGCCATCTCCTGCATGTCCCCCACTGAAGATTGGGCCCACAACCTGGGCACGTGCCCTGACCGGCGACCTCTTGTTACATGGATCGACACTCAGCAACTGAGCCATACCGGCCGGGCTCACTCACAATATTCAATGACTCTCCGTAGCCCTCAAGGTTCAGAGTAAAGTTCTCAGAACAGCATATAAAACCCTTTTGAAATCTTACTCCTAAGTATATAGATAAGGCCTCTCATCTCTTTTCAGAATCCTATACTTTAAGAATGACAAAAATAAAAATTCTTTCCCCCATAGTTTATATTACTCTTTACTTGTAGTGTTATACCAGTCTGAGTTTTGAAAAATGAATAATGCCATGTATCCACCATTATACTATCTATAGAATAGTTTTCTTTCCTAAAAATCCCTTCAACTCTATTGATTTTTTAAAAATATGTTTTTATTGACTTTTTTTAGAGAGAAAGGAAGGGAGAGAGGGAGAGAGAGAAACATCGATGTGAGAGAAAAACACTGATCGACTGTCTCCTGCACTCCCCCTACTGGGAATTGAACCCACAACCCCAGCCATGTGTGTCCTGACTGGGAATTGAACTGGGACTTCAGTCCATGGGAGGATGCTCAAGCCACTAAACCACACTGGCCGACTACCTATTCATTCTTTACTCTGCTTCCACTGAAGCTGTGGCAACCACCAGTCTTTTTACTCTTGATGTATTGTAGTCTTTTCCAAAATGTCATATAATTGGTCTCAGAGTTTGTAGCTTTTTCAAACTGTTTTTCTTTCACTAAGCAATATGCATTTTAGTTTCCTCCATTTCTTTCTTTGAATTGATAGCTCCTTTCTTTTCATCACCGAATAATATTCTATGGTATGTATGTACCATTTTGTATATCCACCTTATGAAGGACACCTCAATTGTTTCCAGTTTTTGGCAGTTATGAATGAAGCTGCTATTTGTGTGCAGGTTTTTGTGTGGACATACTGGGTATAAACCTAGGAGCACCATTGCTGGGTCACATGGTTAGATTATGCTTAGCTTTGGAGGAAATTGAAAGACTGTCTTCCAGAGTATATCTACCATTTTGCATTCCCACCAGCAATGAATGAAAGTTTCTGTTGCTCTATCTATATCTTTGCCATCATTTGGTATTGTCTGCTTTTTGGTGTTTATCTTTTAATAGGTATGTAGTGGTATCTCATTTTAATTTGCTGTTCCTCAATGACATATGTGTTTCATCTTTTCATATATTCATTTGCTATCTGTATTCTTCTTCGGTGAGGTGCCTGTGTAGACTTTTTTGCCCATTTTTAAATTGGATTGTTTTCTTATTGTTGTATATCTTTGTCCTTTATCTTTTTATGCTACACCTTTCTGCTTAATAACTGGTGGTTCAACAGTAAGTAGGACATAGAAGTAAGACAGAAGACCGTTGGTTATGGTTCTTAAAATCTGTGTTACAGATTTTATAATTGATAAAAATGTACAGAAGCATTTTTTGACATAATTACAGAAAATGATTATTACTCTCTTTTCTGATAAACTTATACCAAATTGTCCCTTTTACAAATATTATTACCTAAAAGATAAACGCCAAAAACCAGACAATATCACATTGTCCCTACACATGCTTGTACTTTGAAAAATATACCAATTTTTAAAAAAGTCCCCTCATTATCTTTATCATTATCCCCAAATATTATTACCTAAAATTACGAATTATGTTCAAAAGATGTTACCAAACATGGCTTCTTTCAGATTGCTGTCAATATGTGTGAGACATCATAAGAGATATTTTATGTGAAGTATATGAGATAATAAACATGAAAGTGTTTGTGTGCTATGGATAGTGCCACATACTTATTTAAATAGCATTTGTAGTATATGTACTATCTATATTTCTTCCAGATACTGTACTAGGTACCAAGGAAGCAAAATGACACATTGAACAATTCATAGTCACATAAGCATTTTAACATGAGCTTTATTCAAATTTATTTATTAAGAATTGCATTTGTTTAATAATAAATTTTTGTTATACTCCGTCTTTCTTTTCTCCTTCATATATATACACACATATATGTGAATATTTGTTTATTCATTTACATATATATATGGTTACTTTCATATATTACATTATCTGTATTATTATTATTTTTTTTTATCCTCATCCGAGGACATTTTTCCATTTTTTGTTCAGATAGAGTAGGAGGGAGAGAGAGGAAGAGAGAGAGAGAAAAACATTGACGTGAAAGGGACACATCAAGTGCCTGCCACCCACACAACCCAGCCAGGGCTGGGGACAAACTGCAACCAATGTATGTGCCCTTAGCGGGAACCGAACCCGGGTCTCTCTGGACCACAGGTTGATGCTCTAACCAGTGAACCAAACCGGCCAGGGCCATTATCTGTATTTTTTAAATTGGCATCCTTTTTTATTTCAATTTAACCTTATTGAGTTGTAATTCACAAATAGTATGTGCATCCATTTTAAGTGTACAGTTCAGTGAGTGTTGTCAATGTATACAGTTGTGGAACCACTACCACAATCAAGTTATAGAACACTTCCAACACTTGAAAAGTTCCCTTATGCCCCTTTTGCTGTCAGTCTAACTCCAGTGCTGCACACAGCTGGTGATTGATCTGCTTTTGATCAATAGAGATTAACCTCTTCCAGAATTTCATTTAAATGGAATTATACATTTGATATTTTTTGTTTTAGGCTTCTTTTGCTTAGTATATGTTTTTTGGTTTTTTTTTAGGCTCATCCTTTTTATTGTCAAGTAAAAATCCATTCACCTATTGATAGACATTTGAGTTTTTTTCTCGTTTGGGGCTATTATGAATAAAATTGCCATGGGCTTTCAAGTACAATCTTTGTGTAGACATGCATTATCATTTTTGTTGAGTATGTCAGGTAAAATAGAGAGCAGCTACCAGAGTCAGATGTGCCTTCAGAGTCAGTGATGTGTCTTCACTGAGAGGCAAGACAATATAGCTTTGCTAGGGTTTGAATCCCATCTCTGCTATTTCCTAGCTGGATAAGTTATAATTTTTCATGTCACATTTTTCTCATTTATAAAACAAGGATAGTAATAGCACCTGCCTCACAGAGTTGTTATGAGGTTTAAATGAGTTGGTATGCTAGAAAATTACCTGTTATTTGTAAATCTTACTATTATTTTTATTAGCTATTATTATTATTACAATAGTAGCTAATAGATTAAGTGCTTTCTCAGACTTAATATAAACTTATAATATTTATAACATTACCTTATAAATGTTGATCTTCATGTCTTTTGTTACTCTTAGCATAATGGTTGAATCCTTTTTTTTGTCTTGTATACATGTACAATTAGGTGCTATGCAGAGCGTGTATATAGTAAATATAATTGAATAAAGATAAAAGTGAGATCTAATATGTAAAATACATATCACATTGTTTTTGAATAAAATCAACTTTTACTGTAGTTACAATTTGTTGCTATTTGACTTATTTGAAATTTTATTTTTTTTTAACATTTCAGCAATTGCTTTTCAGTAGGTAAACTGAATAGCTATTATAAAAGTATGTCACATCCTGGCCAGTGTGTCTCAATGGTTAGAGCATGGGCCCTCCCACCAAAGGGTCTCGGGTTCAATTCCCAGTCAAGGGCACATGCCTAGATTGCAGGTTCAATTCAGTCCCCAGCTCTGGTTCCGACCGGGAGGCAGCCAGTAGTTGTGTCTTTTTCCCATCAACCTTTCTCTCCCTCCCCCTCTCTCCCTCCCTCCCTTTCTCTTACTCTAAAAATCAATGGAAAAAATATTCTCTGGTAAGAATTAACAACAACAACAAAGGTATGTCATTTAGTATCTAACTGCTTGTTTGCTTGTTTTCTGTCCCCTCCTTTTTTTTGGGTCTGGTTGTGGTGGAAATAGTGCCTCAGTGTGTCTGGCGAATAAATGTGGATGTCCCTGAGGAAGCTAGTCAGAATCTTTCATTCAGTGCTACTGAGCGATGGTGGGAGCAGACGGATTTGACCAAATTAATCATATCCAACAATAAACTTCAGTCACTTACAGATGACCTCCGACTACTGCCTGCACTCACTGTTCTTGATGTAAGTTGACTGATTATGAACATAGGTCATTAGTTGAAGAGACTCTAATTCTAAATTTAGGCTTTGGTACACAGAAAACCCATTTCAGTTGGTAAACTACAAGCAAGAATAAATTATTGTTAGGCATAACATAATGGTTAGGGAGTAGATTCAGCATCACACTTCAAATTTCAACTCTGCACTTGATAGCTGTGTAAACTTGGAAAAGTTACCTCTTTGTGCCTCAGTTTCCACATCTATAAACCAGGACTTTTATTACTACCTGATTATAAACATACTGTTTTTAGAATTAAATGAGTTAATGTATGCAAACAGAATTAGTATTTAACAAGTATTTGCTGCTACTCATTTTTCTATTGCTGTTATTATTATTATTGCATTTATCTTCAGATAGAGCAGGAGGGAGAGAGGGGGGAAGAGAGAGAGAGAGAAACATCAACATGAGAGAGACACATTGAGTGGTTGCCACCCACATGACCCCAGCCAGGCAAGGGACAAACTGCAGCCGAGGTACGTGCCCTTAGTGGGAACTGAACCCGGGTCTCTCTGGTCCGTAGGCTGATGCTCTAACCGCTGAGCCAAACTGGCCAGGGCCTATTGCTATTATTTTTAATATAATTATTATTCTAGACATTAAAGCAAGTACTGTTGACTCTTGAACAATGAAGGGGTTAGGGGCACCAACCATCTGCACAGCTGAAAATCTGTATATGACTTTTGATTCCCCCAAAACTTAATGACTAATAGCCTACTATTGACCAGAAGCCTTACCAATAATGTAAACAGTAGATTAACATATTGTGCATGTTATATATATTATATACTGTAATTTTACAATAAATTGAGCTGGAGAAAAGAAAATGTTAAGAAAATCATAAGGGAGAGAAAATACATTTACAGTATTTACTGAAAAAAACTCTACGTATATGTGGAACTGTGTTGTTCAAGGGTCAACTGGACTTAAGATTGATTTTTTTAAAAAATTTAACTTTCTTTCAACATTGACTTAAATTATTGAACTTAAATTTTTGTGTATTTATTCAGGGACTATATTTTAGTTTCTAGTTGCTATGTCATGTGATAAAGTATGAATAGTTTATTTCACAATCTATATACTTCTGATGTCCTGAATTTAGGAACATCAAATATTTTACAATTGATATCTGAAAAGTTGGATCTGGTCAGATTTCTAGAGAATTTTTATTTTGTAAATTTGTAAAATGAATGGATTGGCTTAGGTGTTCTCTAAGGTTCCTGGTATCTTGAAAACAATATGATTCTTTGAGAATATAAAAGAGGTCCCTCACCCACTTCTCATTTATTTTTGTATATGCTGACATATAAATCATGCCATCAAGGATTGTTGTTAGTTTCTAACCCTCCCGTCTCTCATTTAAGATTGAAATTCCACTCAGTGAGATGAAGTGTTTTTTAAATTATAATATTTAATAGTGATGACATAACTTCATGATATCTAGACAGCAGTTTGATCAATTTCAAACTCCTTTTCCTCTTCTATACACAGAACAAATTTCCAATACCCAACTTGATGCTATTGAATTAGAAGAATGGGATTATTGTTGAATTTTGTACAGTGGCAAAATTAATATATATTTAATTATAAGATTAAGATATTGACTCTTTTAATAACTTTTAGATACATGACAATCAGCTGACATCCCTTCCTTCTGCTATAAGAGAATTAGAAAATCTTCAGAAACTTAATGTCAGGTAAAATGTAAACATATTTATTTCTAATGTTTTAAAACTTTTTTTCTAATACTAGGAAATATTTTTGTATTACCTCAAAAACTGGTTAAAGCAGAATAGGAGTTGTAAATTTTAATTCTCAGATTATTTTTATTTTTTGTTTTAGAATTGCTCACATGCACCTGGCCAGTGTGTCTCAGTGGTTGAGTTGTCAACCCATGCACCAAGAGGTTGCCAGTTCGATTCCCAGTCAGGGCACATGCCCAGGTTGTGGGCCCAATTCGCAGTGGGGGACATGCAGGAGGAGGACAATCGATGTTCTCTCTCATCAGTGTTTCTGTCTCTCTCTCCTTCCCCCTTCCTCTCAATAAAAGAAAGAAAAAGTTTTTTAAAAGAATTGCTCACATGCTTTTGGATTTAAAAATTTAAGGGCAATTTTTTTTAATCCTCATCTGATGATATTTTTTAATTGATTTTTTTGGGGGGGAGAATGGAAGGGAGGGAGGAAGGTGGGGAGAGAGACAGAGAGAAAGAGAAAGAGAAAGAGAGAACCATTGGTGTTAGAGAGACACATCGATGTGAGAGAGGTATGTGCCCTTGACCAGAATCAAACCGATGACCCATCAGTACATGGGCTGATGCTCTAACCACTGTGCACACGGGCCAGGGCAAGATCAGTTGATTTTTAAAAAATACTTTTATTTTACCCTGACCAGTTTTGTTCAGTGGTTAGAGTGTTGGCCCACGGACCAAAGAGTTGTGGGTTCGATTCCGGCCAAGGGCACGTACCTTGGTTGTGGTTCATCCGTGGCCCTGGTTGGGATCATGCAGGAGGTAGCCGGTCGATGTGTCTCCTTCACATTGATGTTTCTTTCACTCTCTCTCCCTCCCACTCTATCTGAAGATAAATAGAAAAGTATCCTCCAGTGAGGATTTTAAAAAAACCAAACTTTTGTTTTGCTTTAGCCTGGTGGCTCAGTTGGTTGGAGCATCATCCCATAAACCAAAAAAGGTTACAGGTTTGATCCCTGCTTGGGTAGATACAGAAGGCAGCCAATCAATGTTTCTCTCTCACATTGATGTTTCTCTCTCTCTAAAAATCATTAAAAACATATCCTCAGGTGAGGATTAAAAAAAACACAAACTTGTTTTAATTTTATGTGGTTACCTCTTTGTTGATATCTCAGGTTCTAAATTACTTTGATATTCTAAAAATATCTAAGTGTTAAACAATAGAAAAAATTGAAAACAATTCTTTTTTTTTTTTTTTATCCTCACCCGAGGACATTTTTCCATTTTTTGTTCAGATAGAGTGGGAGGGAGAGAGAGGAAGAGAGAGAGAGAAACATCGACGTGAAAGGGACACATTGGGCAGCTGCCACCTGCACAACCAACCAGGACCGGGGACAAACTGCAACCGAGTACACGCCCTTAGCAGGAGCCGAACCCAGGTCTCTCCGGACCGCAGGCCGACACTCTAACCACTGAGCCAAACCGGCCAGGGCGAAAACAATTCTTTCATTAATGAAGAAAAGTTTGATGGTTTTGATATTAGTGGTTTTTAATCTTTTTTTGAGGTCTTACGGAATTTTTGGATATGCTTCTGGTACTCATTGATAGATATATGGGAAGCCAGGCAGCTAAGGCTCTTCCTTGCGCATCTAGACTTTCAAGAAAGAATAACTGCCTTATATGTTATGCACACACAGAAGAGGAAAAAAATGGGTTAGGTAAGATTTCATTTAGGAGAAGAGACAAAAAGGTTTAAATATTCAAAACATAGTTTGAAAATTGTGGTTTATAAAATAGATGTTACAGATCTATCTAACAAAGCATAGCCAAGTCTCAGTTTTCTGAAGGTACATTAACTGGTTTGAGGAAAAACATTATCCTAAAATAACAGTTCTCATAAGGTGAAAAACTTAAAATCATCATAAATCAACAACAATATCCATATACAAAAAAGATGCTAATTGTTTAGAACTTCATTAGAACTTCTTACAAGTCAAGTGGCTTGCAAAAGCAAGGAGCGGGAGAGTTGAGAGGAAGAGGTGAGGGAGAATACAGGGCATGTGGCTTCAGCTTTAGCTTCCAATGAGTGTGAACATTAGGATGGAAGAAATAAACGAGGAAAAGAATGGAGGAAGTATATAGCTAGAATTACAACTCTGTTCAACTACATCCCTATCAAATATGGTATACGAAGATATTCATTACATAACCAACAATAGTAACCAATTTTTCCCAGTTTTTACTAGTTCTTATTTTAGAACACATCTTTTGACATTTTTGTTCCAAGTACTTTTATTTTAATATAACTTGAGGTTATTGTTAGTTACCCCCTTATACAGTTTTCCATTATTTGCTGAATAATTGTATGTGTCATGAAAATAGAGTGGGATTCCTAAGTGAATAGTTGAGATAAATCTGAGAATAAGTTAAGCATCTCTTAATTATCAGGGAGCATATCATCCTCAGTGACTAGGGACTTCTCTTAAATCAATAAGTTAAATATTTCTGTAGAAAGACTGAGCTGAAACATTAAAACTAAGTACAAAGAAGAGTGGAGTTTTATATTACATTAAAATGTACATGCTAGGCCCTCAGATAGAAATAGCTTTTTTTGTCTTGGGTGCTAAGTTTAAAACATAACCCCCATATAAGATGTGACTCCATGGTAGTGTGTGTACGCACATCTTTGTCAAAATTCTAAAACTCGGATAGTGTATAAAATAGTAAGAGTCCAGTGTATCCTTTCACATTAAATGTAAACTTAAGACTTGATTATAAGGAAGTAATAAAAAGTTCACAAATTATTTATTTTGTTAAAAACCTTTATTTCATTGTTGTTTTCCTTTGAAACCCTTTGATTAGATTACTGTTTTAATGTGTGCATACTTTTATGATATGAAGTTTGATAACTTTAATATTAGTAATCATAATTCATGTTTTTTAAAAATATGTTTTGATTGATTTGAGAGAGAGAGAGAGAGAGAATCATTGATATTAGAGAGAAATATCAATCTGCTGCCTCCTGCATACTCCCTACTGGGGATTAAGCCCACAGCCCCGGCATGTGCCCTGACTGGGACTCAAACCAGTGACCTTTTGGTGCATAGGACAATGCTCAACCAACTGAGCAACACTGCCAGGGCATATTTCATGTTTTTAATGAGTCCATGTAGTTGGTTAGCTTAAAAAACAAAAACAAACATTTATAAATATTTAATATGTTGTCAGCCAATTATTTAGCATTTATTTTATTAATTAATAGCCATAACAAACTGAAAATAGTCCCTGAAGAAATTACAAATCTGAGAAACCTGAAGGGCCTGTATCTCCAGCATAATGAACTGACTTGCATACCGGAGGGATTTGAAAAACTTTTCAATTTAGAAGATATGGTAAGTTGTGATTTTCTAATTTTTATATGATGTGGGGCTGATTGCATTTTTCATTAGGCTAAGAATTTGGGTGTATGATTAAAATCATGAGAAGATGGGCTGCTGATTATGTATTTAGATTACCAGAAACTGCATTTTAATTAGATCGTTAAATTAGCCATTGTAAATTTTTTTTTTCCTATATTTTCTTATGAAATCACCTTAGGTTTTGATTTAGAAATAGAGTTTGGGAAAGAGGTGATGAGGATCACTGTATTATTTAGTGGCATTTATAGCTTAGCAAATTAGAGGAAAGGTATCTTTAGCACATACCAATTCCCTTTTCTATACCCACTTCTACTTTTAAAAAAAAGTTTTTATTGATTTTTTCTTAGAGAGAGAGAGAGAGAAGTATAGATGTGAAAGAGATATATCGATCAGCTGACTCCTACACGCCCTTTACTGGGGATCAAGCCTGCAGCCTGGGCATGTGCCCTGACCAGGAATTGAACCTGGACCTCTCAGTCCATGGGATGATGCTCAATCCCCTGAGCCACACCAGCCGGGCTCCACTTCCTTCTTTATAGGCCTTTAACCTTCCTCTCCTCTGATTGTCTCCTCTGAGTCCCCAGATAGTCCCTTTAAGGCCTGCCTTTTCGTCTCTATTTTTCAAAATGGCCACATTTGATAAAATTTTTATTACATCTGTGTCACATCTTTTTTTTTTTTTAAACTATGTTTTTATTGATTTTTTTTAGAGAGAGAGATAGAAACTTTGATGTGAAAGAGAAACATTGATAGGCTGCCTCCTGCCCACCCCCTACTGGGAATCAAGCCTGCAACCCAGGCATGGGGGGAGTTGAACTGGCACTTCCCAGCCATGGGATGACGCTCCATCTACTGAGCCACACCAGCCGGGCTGTGTCACATCCTAAGTAGAAATAACTGTAAAGCAATATAAATCTTATTTTAATCATATTAGTAAGTATTATACAAATAATAGACACTTTGTTTTGTGCTTGAATGTATGGCAAGGTAGATAGTGTTATCTTCTAATACAGATAAAAAACTAGGCTTATAAAATAGAAGCAACTTATTGGAAGTCATTCAACTAATATGTAAGGAATTCAGGATTTTAACAAAAACCTCTTTGACTCCAAAGTCCCCTCCGCCCCCACTTTACTACTGAAGGACTAACTTTCCACTATAAGGTATCTTAACTGAAAGACTTTAGCTCTATTAGATCAGATGTTCTAATAATCTCTACCACACATAGTCATTTAATATTATATTCTTGCTCTTTTTTCTATTACATGTTTGAAAAACTCATGTCATTTCAGCTTCAAAGTTTATTTATTTATTTAATCCTCACCCAAAGACATTTTTTGTGTTTATCTTCAGATAGAGTGGGAGGGGGAGAGGGATGAAGAGAGAGAGAGAAACATCCATGTGAGAGAGACTCATCGACTGGTTGCCACCCATACAACCCTAACCGGGCCGGGGACAAAATGCAACTGAGGTACATGCCCTTAGCGGGAACTGAACCCAGGTCTCTCTGGTCCACGGGCCGACACTGTAACCGCTGAGCCAAACCGGCCAGGGCAAAGTTTATTTTTTTAAGGGGAAAATTATTTCTTTTACTTCCTTTTTTTTTCTGTGAAGCATCCTTCTTAATATTGCCTTTTATCTGCTCTTGTGTTTGAAATCAAAATACACACACTCCTCTACTATTCCTTTAGTATTTCTGTTGATCTGATTAGATTGGAAATAAGGTTTGAGAAGTAAAAGGCATAGGTAGATGAAATGAGTGGCAAAGGAGGGAGCCATCAGATTTTTTTAAGAAATTTAATGGTAAAAGGTAGCCATTGGATTTATAAAAAAAAGTCTATAGTAGAAAGGAAACCTTCTAATTAACTACAGCAGTTCACAGTTGTTTGCTTTTATGGGTTCCTAGATTACAGGTAGCATAATGAAAGGATATTTCAGTTGAAAATTGTGTTAAGGACTCAGTATCAAATAAACCATAATATGAGCAACAGTATATTAAAACATTAAAAGTAATAAGCATCTGTAACACTTTATACTAGTAATAATTCTTAGTGAAGTAAAAACTACTTAGCATAATGGTACTGAATAAATATTTATGAATTGGAAATATAAATACTAATTAATTTATATGAAATGTGCTTATATCTAATTTAATTATTAACTGCAATAATTAAATGTCTAACTTTATTAGTGATTTGTTCATTTGGGTTATTTAAAATGAATTTGTGAATTAATATTTTTTCTCTAGTAGAAACTTTTATTTTAAGTTTTTTATTTAAAATAACTTTAGATTTACATAGGATTGTAAAGACAGTACAGAGTTCCTGTATTCCCTTCACCCAGATTTCCTTAATGTTAACATTTTATATGACCATGGGACATTTGTAAAAAGTAAGAAATTAATATTGGTACAATATTACTAACTAAAGTATAGATTTTGTTAAGGTTTTTCCCAGTTTTTCCACTAATGTTCTTTTTGTTCCAGGATCCAGTCCAGAATACTACATTGCATTTAGTGTCAGTAACTTTTAGTATTATACAATACCTATTTATTAGTAATCTATTAATTCTTAGAGTTTAGAGTATTGGAGTTGTAGATTATTATGTTGTATGTTGTTGATTATGATAATATGTTATTTACAATATAACACTATTTTTTTTTAATGCTGATATAGCATTTCTTCCTTTTTGTATCTTCTTAATTTATTTAGAGTTACAGAATGCAACTGTTTAATATTAGACTAATTGAAAGTCTTCAGAGAGCATTTCCTTTAAGTTATTTTTTTCTATTCATTGTTACTACTGGCCCTACCTAACAGTTTAGTGATAGCTAGTAGAGTACTTACACCAAATTCAAATATAAGAATTATTTGATTTATAACATTGTCTTTTAAAGGGAGTTAAAAAAAAAGTTCACCCATAACTGTTTAAAGAAAAAACAGAAACGATGGCTAAAGGAAACATTAGGTATAAAGATTAATTAGGCAAGTTTGAATGAATGAATACAGTAGTAGTGTAGTGGACTTCTGGACTTAGTGAAAGCAGACTTGCTGAGGTCAGCAGAAAACAAGAGGGAATATTTTCTCCTCAAAAATTAAAATGGCCATATTTTCAACTTTATTTTTCTTTTTTCAAGAATATTTCTTTCTTGCCAAGTTGTATTTCATTTCATATTACAGTTTACCTGTACAGTTTGGCCTATTTATCATAGGTACTCAGTAAATATTGGCTGAACAAATGGACTTTTTTTTTTTTAAACAGGATACATGGAATAGCATCACTTAGTATTAGTAGAACCCTTTTTGTAAACTATTTCTGAAGTCAGCATTCATTCTGATTTCACTCTGCTACATTATTAGGCACATAGTTGGCCTACAGAATATTGAGGTAATGAATGATGAGGTTACAAAACATATCGCCTCTGAAATACACACACACACACACATAGACACACACGCACACACGTATATATATATATTTTTTTTAATCCTCACCCGAGGACATTTTTTTATTTTTTTTGTTCAGATAGAGTGGGAGGGAGAGAGAGGAAGAGAGAGAGAGAGAGAAACATCGACGTGAAAGGGACACATCGAGTGGTCGCCACCCACACGACCCAACCAGGGCTGGGGACAAACTGCAACCGAGGTGCATGCCCTTAGCGGGAACCAAACCCAGGTCTCTCTGGACCACGAACTGATACTCTAACTGCTGAGCCAAACCACCCAGGGCTGAAATATATATTTTTTAATAATGTTTCAATTCTTGCAAAATTCTGAAATACCCTTCAGGGATAATTTATTTATATTTATTTACCCATTCATTCTGTCTTTCTCTTTTTAAAGGATCTTTCAAATAATTGCCTTACAACCGTTCCTGCTAGTTTTTCTTCTCTATCCAGTCTGGTGCGACTCAATCTCTCCTGTAATCAACTGAAGAATTTGCCAGCAGAAATAAGTGGAATGAAAAGTAAATCTCTGTTTTAAAACATATACATATAACATATATATATACATATATTTGAAGTTGATGCTACTTACATTTAGAAAAATAAATTTTAATACATACAGTTGCAGAGAAGTAAAATAGATTTTATGGTGATAAATGCAAATAACAATAATTAATCAGATTTTCTCCAGGCCATAATTACCTATCATCTTCCTCAACAACACCAAGAAGATACTTTGGCATATCAAAAAAAGAAAAGAAAATATGATTATAAATTGTGATAAAATTTTATACCTGAGAAATTGGTTAAGTTTTTAAGTTATGCTATATTTTCATTCATTCATTCAACATTCACTAAGAGGTTATTCTCCTCTCATAGGTGTTTCTATTTATGACATATGGTTATGTCATAGCTGTAGCCTCCTCGAGGTTCATAATTAATAATGACAAGAGATAGTGTAGTTTTGCCTAAATTATGAATCTTTTTGTAAGTTAAAATTAAGTGCTTCTATTACAGTTTTCCGTTGTACCATCATATTTAAAGTATTGTAGAACTAATATTAAGGGGTAAAAATATTTAAGATACATTTCTGTACTTTTTAATTAAGTATACTTAATCATTTCAGAATTCTCGATTTAGAGTCCAAAATCATTAAACTGATTTTTTTGTTTAAAGGCAAACTTATTATTTCTTAGTTGATAACCACAATGTGTGTCAGCTGTAGACTATTTACCTTATCTATTTTTCTAATCATATAAGCCCTTTTATTTATTTATTTGTTTATTTTTTAATTTATGTTAATCCTCACTGGAGGATATTTTTTGCATTGATTTTTAGAGAGAGTGGAAGAGAGGGAGGGAGGGAGGGAGAAAAAGAAAGAGAGAAACGTCAATGTGAGAGAGAGATATCAATTAGTTGCCTCCCACATGACCTAACGGGCTGGGGATTGAACCTGCAACTCAGGTTCCCTTGATTGGGAATCGAACCCTCAACTTTTTGGTTCTCAGGCTGACGCTCTAACCTAACTGCTGAGCCATACCGGCCAAGGCTGTTTTTTTTTTTAACCTCCCTTTTGTAAAGGAAGTCATGGAAGTTATATCATACAACTGATTATAGATCATTTAAAAAAAATTTTTTTTTTTTTTTATTGATTTTAGAGAAGAGGAAGGGAGAGGGAGAGATAGATAGAAACATCTATGAGAGAGAACATAGATTGGCTGCCTCCTGCACTCCCCCCACTGGGGACCTGGCTCACAACTTGGGCATGTGCCCTGACTGGGAATCGAACAGGCCACCTCTTGGTGCATGGGTTGATGCTCAACCACTGAGCCATACCAGCCGGGCTGATTACAGATCATTTTGAGGTGAATTTATAAAATTGTGTATTTTACTTTAGATTAATAGTTATTTGTCATTTATAATAGAAATTTATAAGTTAAGTCTGTATAAATCAAATTGACATTTTAGGGGAGTCTTAACTTGTGATACCAATAATTAAGACTGCTTGTCTTTTTCATTTTTCAATAAAGGTATTAGGAAGTAGAGTTAGATGTAAAATATGGTATCTGGATTGAGTATATAAGAAGCATGTTTATTTTTTTCTTCCATAAATTGAGTGGAAATATCTTGAGATACAGAAATAGATGAGAAAGTCAATAGAAAAATACTTTGAATATACAGCAATTGTTTTAATATACTGTATAATTAATGATCATATGCATTCTGTCCTTCAGCCATGACAGTGACACTTTTAAGCTATCTTGATTTAGACATTTAGTAGGTATTTTACTATTAATGACTAAATCCTAAGAATAATATCTAGCATTTGTATGGTTCTTTTTAACTCAGAATGCTTTTACATATAAAGTTTGCCATCACAATTCTGTAAACTAGGGGACATGCTTATTATTTACATTTTAAAGATTCATAAACCTAGGCTTAGAAATTATAGTGTAAATTGTAGGCCAGGGATTGAGTCCTCTTACTCCATCTCTCCTACTCTTTCCACTACATACTGTGTGTATTCTCAATCAGGCATTTATATGCAAACAATTTTGAAAACTACAGTCTCTAACTTTAAAACAAACTTTTCTTTATAGAATTTACTGGATTTGGGGTGGATGAGATTGTGACACATTTCTCAATGCTCTAGCCAAATAATACATTATTGTATTACTAGTTGGAAGTAGTACTATTACATTTGTTTAAAGCAGCTTCTTTAAACACTGAAAGAAGCAGTCTAAGGTATTATAACATCTCAGTCTTGAATTATTTTAAAGTTGACAGATTCAAAGTACAGGGGGGAAAAGTGGTAAAATTCAAACAGCTACAGGGTTGAGAGTGAATTGTGGAAAAGTGTGGCCATTATAAGTGTAAGAAGCTGTATCATGGGTTAGGGAGAAAATTGCGTTTTGTAGTTTTAAGGGAAAGAAGATCTTTACTTTTTTCTATTTTTGTTTTCTGTTCTGTCTTAAGAAAGAAAGATCCAGGAGGTAAGAGAGAGATGTTGCAAGTAAGAACGTTGTCAAAAGTGTTAGCTAAGGTGTTAGAGAAAGCATGTAATTAAAAAAAAAAAAATAGAAGACGAAAGGAAGAAAAAAAGACAGAGAGGCAGTATGTATGGATGAAGAATAAGAGGTAATACAGAAAAATCCAATACTTTATGACAGAAAGTCAGCTTGCCTATTTTAAATTCAGATATGTATAAGCTACCTGATATCTGTTCACACATATAGTATGCATGCATAGTTATATATCTATCGTAAGCGGTTTCTTTTTAAAGTTTAATAATTATGGAGGGAAATAATCTCGTGTATAATTTATATAGGGTATGGCACAAGTGGGTTTACCTTTGTGAGTATGCGAAACAGTTTATTCCTGAATTACTTATAATTCTTGTAGTTTTCCATATGAACGACTTGCAAACCTACTTTTGCCACACCCTGTACATTTTAGAGCACTTTAACAAATTACCAAAGTATTTTGTTTTTTAAAATCTGTTGCAAAGGTGATGTGGACTATTGTTAAACACATTAATTTTTGTATCAATTTTCTTTAATTATAATTAAATGAAAAAAATCTTAGTTCATGTTTAATTCATTGGTATTCTAAGATTCTTAATTATTATAGCAGTATACAACAGCACAGGTATGTAAGTTCTCATAATTACATATACACTTTTTAATATACATAAAATTATAGATCAATATTTTTTCTTTATTACAATCATTTAAATTTCTTTTTTTACTGAATATGTATTACAGGATTAAAGCATTTGGATTGTAATTCAAATCTCTTGGAAACTATACCTTCTAACTTGGCTGGCATGGAATCACTAGAATTGCTTTATCTGCGGAGGAATAAATTACGTTTTCTACCAGAATTTCCTTCTTGTAAATTATTAAAGGTAGTATTTAGTTGATTATTAAATAACTATATATTTTCAAAAGTTAATTATGAAAATGAAAATTTTAATCTTGTTTTACATTGGAAATATGTATTAGTTGTAAGTGCTATGTTTTTCCTATATTAATAGTTTTCAGAATTTTAAAATGACTAAATACATTAATGAAATTATTAGTAATAGATTAAAAAAAAGAATCAACTGAAAAAAGAGAAATTTTTCCATTTCATCTGATGAGTAGTTTATGACTGGAAAAGTAGTAGATGAGGCTAACATGGTAAATTGGGGCCATATTGTAGGAGACCTGGAATACCAGTATACCAGGAAGGAATATGTATCTGTTTCTTTAAGTTGCCCCCTCTCATGTTCACCTGATCATAATCAGGTCTATTTAAAATTAATTACTTTCTTTTGGTATTAAGTATTTAGCATTAACATTGTCTTTTAAATTTGCCGTGTTTTGCTTTCCTTTGTGTATGTTTTTATGCATTTAGTGTTAAAAGAGTTTCTTATGCAAGATGCTGACGGTGTTAAAAGAACCGAAAAAGTTATAATTTATAAGATGAATTATCCATCTGATAATTATAGATACTGTTAATGGAAAATCAGTATATATAATAATTACTATTGAAAATGTTGAATAACAAACTGATAATATAAATAAAATTTTTAACATACTGGTTTGTTTGAAAATTAATCTTTCATTAGTATAGTTCTTGGATTTGTATTTTTATTAATTCTATAAATGTAACTACTAAATCATTTCTCTTTCTTGGTTTTATAAACTTTGAACTTTGTACCAGATGAAACCTTTAATTATTTTTAAACTACTAGAAAGTTTTTGGAAATTTTCTTATTGCCATTTTTCTTTAATCGTATGATAGCTTAAATATAATTGAAAATTTAAGCACCTTAATAATTGGAAAATTATGTTTTTCTATGTGCTCCTCAATGATTTAAAATTAGGATTTTAATTTTATTTTCATTATATGATATAACATTGATTACAGAAATATACATGATTGATTTTTGGTTTTTGTAGGAATTACATTTAGGCGAAAACCAAATTGAAATGTTAGGGGCAGAACATCTTAAGCATCTGAATTCTATCCTTGTGCTAGACCTGCGGGATAACAAGTTAAAATCTGTTCCAGATGAAATTACGCTGCTACAATCATTGGAAAGGCTTGACCTAAGCAACAATGATATTAGTAGGTAAGTTTAAAGATCAAATGAATAAGAAATCACGTCTATATTTGGTTATAATTCATAAGTTAAAATATGTGGAAAAAGCATGTAGAAATCTTTTTCTAAATTAAATTCAGTAAACATTTATTAAGCAGGTATCATCTACAAACCAACAAAGAGTAATTAGATTTTGCCCTTAACAGCAAGCTTAATTTGCTAATAGAATGAGATGCCTTTACAAGTTACTCTGACCTAGTAGAATGTAAACTCTTAGAAGACTGCATTTTTATCTATTTTGTTCACTGCTCTAAATTCTAGATCAATGCCTGGATACATAGAAGGTGCCTGATAAATATTTGTTGAATTTGTTAAATGAATGTAAAGCCATGGGAGAGATATAAAATGCTTTGGGAGCTTGAAGCAGATACAGTAATTACAAGTTATGGAGAGATATCAGGGTAGACTTTGTAGAGGAAGTAATATTTTTAGATGATCTTTAGGACTGGGGCTAGTTAATTACCTAGAGCACAAATTTTAAGAATGTACTCACTTTCACAGTCATGCTTCATTCTGGTCCCACCATGTGATCTCTAAAGGATGACCATAATTTTCTTTTTTTGGGGGGTACGTGCCCCTAGTAGGAACTGAACCTGGAACTCTGGTCTACAGGCCAACACCCCAACTGCTGAGCCAAACTGGCCAGGGTGGATGACCATAATTTTCAAGTGCACATGTAAGGTGGTCAGAATGAATCACTTGTCAGGAGGAAACAGTACAAACAAAGCTTTGAAAGTTCAGAAAATTATGGGGATGTATTTAGAGAACAAGGAATCAAATTGAACTGGTGAATGTGGGGTACCGGTAGGGATATTATGAGAATTTAGGGTTTAAAAGATATGTTGAGGCCATGTGGAAGACATACCTGTGAAGAGTCAGTTTTCATTAGTTAAGAGGTAGGGAGCTATTGAAAGATTAAGAACAGAACCAATTTTATTGTAATCTCATTAAAAAATAAATTAGTGGTAATGAGTAAGATACATTGGATAAGAGTAGTTTTGTCAGGCCAGTGTGGCTCAATGGATTGAGCATTGTCCCATGGACTGAGAGGTCCCGGTTCGATTCTTGGTCTGATTCCTGGTCAGGGCATTTGCCTGGGTTGTGGGCTCAATCCTCAATGTGGGGCGTGCAGGAGGCAGCTGATCAATCTTTCTTTATCTCCCTTCCCCTCTCTCTCTCAAAAAAAAATCAATTATAAAAGTATTACATGTTCATGGCTACATTTAAAAAAAAGAAGAATGGTTTGTAGGGAAATCTAAATGAACTTGATTAGATTAGTCTAATTATGCTTAGCATTAAGGAACACTTTCTATATCCAATTCACTGTATTGACAGTTTTGTGGATTTCTCACGAAATAAGGACCTAAACTGTGGTGACAGTGGGAATGGAAAGAAGAGGAAAGATGTGAGGTGTGATGAGTTAGAATAAGTAGTACTGTAATTAGCAATTGATCGCCTGTGTTGGAAATGGGGGAGAGGAGAGTAGTGAGCAAAGAATCATAAAATGTTATAAAACCATTATACAGGGTAGGGCAAAAGGAGGTTTATGGTTAGTTGTGAGTATGGGAAACACAGTTTATTCTTGTATTATTATTAATTTTTTATTATTTTCCATATGAACAACTGTAAACCTACTTTTGTCCCACCCTGTATTTCTATGGATACAAAAAATACTACTCAGACTTACCTAGGATTATATACCATTTAGATAGTTGAGGTTTTATATTTAGATGTCAAAAACATGGTTTGCTATTCATAGAAGGTGAAAGGTTAGGAAAGGCAGAGTTTCTTCTATATGTGTATTTTAATTAGTATTTTTTAAAATTATGATTGTTTTCACAATGTCCATATGGCATATAGTTTGTATTGGCCATAGATTTGAATGCTGTAGAGTGACACTTTTCACTTCTATTTCTGACAAATAAAAAGTGACCTGGATATCCCTAAAAGTTTTCACCTTACAACTAGTGAATGAAATAATTTCTTGCCTCTTATAGATATTGACATGTAAGTATTTCCCATGACAGTTTTATTTTGGCTACTGCATAAAAGCAATGGAAAGCAAAAATTTAAAACAAAAAGTATGATTAATATTAAATAAAATAATTGGTAGAAATATATCTGATATATATGTTTGTCTTTTTCCAGAGCTCTGGATATAAAGTATTTATATCTATATCAAAACTGTCTCTCTCTATATATGTATATATATCACAGAACCTAGACCATAATGGCACTTAATAAATATCAGTGTCTTTCGTTACCTCTAACCTCATACTTTCTATTTAGACAATTCGGTACATTTTGTACCTCTCCAGAATCTCCTCTAACCAAAATATTGATTCCTCACACTGCTACCATAATATTTTTTTTTAATAAAATACACAATATCTGGTTATTCTACTAAAAAGCTTTGATGGTTCTCCATTGTTACAACACTGTTTGCCAATTATGGCTATGCATCAGAATCTCTAGTAAGTCCCTCTTATCTGCCAGGGATGTACCAAGATGCCTGAAACCATAGATGGGACCAAACCCTTATTTATAGGTTTTTTTTTCTTATTACATATATACCTATGATAAAGTTTAGTTTATAAATTAAGAACAGTTAAGATGAACAATAATAACAGAAATACAACAGAACAGCTCTAGCAATATACTGTAGTAAAGTTATGTGAATGGCTTTGGGGCCATTTTTAAGTAAGATAAGGGTTACTTGAATACAAGCATGGTGATACCATGACAGTCCATCTGATAACCTAGATGGCTGCTAACTAATGAGCAGGTAGCATATTCAGCATGGATGCACTGGACAAAGGGACGATTCTCATCCAGAAGGGAATGAAGTGGACTGCATTAGATCTCATTATGCTACTCAGAACAGCACACAATTTAAAAGTTATGAATTGTTTATTTCTGGAAATTTCCATTTAATATTTTCAGACCACGGTTGACCACGAGTAACTAAAATGGCAGAAAGTGAACCCCAGGATAAGGAGGGACTACTGTATAGATTCTGAGGCACTGATGAATCAGAATCTCTAATGATAGGATTGCATAATTGTTTTTGTTCTTTTGTTTTAAACAATTCCTAGGAGATTTTGATGCCACTGGGAACCAGTGTCTTACAAAGTAAAGTCCAGTCTTTTTAGCATTAAATTCAAGGGCATCTCACAGTTAGACTTTATTCTCTATATATATCATCTTTCATTCCTATTGGTATGCTGTTCTCAGACAATACTGAACTATAAATGTACCAATTTTATGTTGTTTCTTTACCTGAAAATGCCTTTTTCCTACCTGACTGATGGAATCCCTTTTCTCTTTTTAAGCTTTGCTAATTTCTGTACCTACTTTCATAGAAACTATACTTGTTTAGCATGACTCATTACATATATATTTATTGATGTATAATTTATGTTCAATAAAATTCACTAATTTAAGCATATATCTTGGTGATTTTTGATAAGTGTATGTTTATGTAACCATTGTCACAGTCATGTGGAACATTTCTGTCTCCCTCAAGTTTCCTCATATCTTTTGCAGTCAATCTCCTTTTAACATTTCAGTCTCTAGCAATTACTGATGTGCTTTGTCATTCGTTGTAGTTTTGCCTTTTTTATCACACAAAATATAGTTTTGTGTTTGTTTTCTTTAACGTAGCATAAAAGACTTTTGTGAGTCATTCATGTGATTGTGTATATCAGCAGTTCATTTTTATTACTTGGTGTTAATCCATTATACAGCTATACCATAATTTATTTATCTCTTCACTAGTTACTTGATGGACATTTGAATTATTTTCAGTTTATTGGCTATTTTGAACATTCATGTAAAAGTCTCTGTGTGAACATTATTTTAATTTCTCCTGAGTAAATCTGTACGAGTAGGATTGCTTAGTTGTATGGTAAGTGTATGTTTAACTTTAAAAGACTGACTTCCAAAGTGGCTCTACTATTCTAAATGCTCACCAGCAACATAAGATAATTACTATTTATTAAATTTGGTTGGCTGTATATGTGTCTTTTTCCTTTGTTGAACTGAGAACTCTTTAAGGGCAAGAATCTTGATATCCTACACCAATGCCTAGTATATTGTAGATGCTTAATTTTGAGATTGGATATCTAATCTCAACAGGTTATCTTTTTGTACGATGAAGATAAAAATGACTTTTTGTATTGAATGAATTGGATGATTAAAATTTCTTTTTTCTTTTTGTCTCTTTTTTTTATTAGGAAGAATTTTATTTACTTTCTTGAATGGCAAAAATCAAAACATTTGGTATCAGTGAGGATGACTATTTTGAATCACTGATTCATTCAAATTTATATATTGAACATTTACTTTTTAGCATTGGATACAATTTAGTGAAAGTTTTATAGCTCATGTTCTTTTTTATCAATCACAATATGACAATTACAAACAAATCTGGTTTTTCTTTTACATGTGCAGCTCAAAGGGAAAAATTGTAGGCCTACATTACTTAGGTTTGTATATACACACACACACACACACACACATATATATGTGTCCATATATAGTATGTTTATACATATGCACATGTAGGTATATGTATATATATTATGTATATAAAATGTTGTTAGATTTATAGTCAACTATTTGGTTGAATTATACTTACCATTAATGTTTTCCCTGAAATGAATTTCATCTTTTGTAGTCTACCCTATTCATTGGGAAGACTTCATTTGAAATACCTGGCACTAGAAGGAAATCCTATGAGAACCATTCGAAGAGAAATTATAAATGTAAGTGTATTTAAAAATCAGCTTCAGTTTTTAAATTTGAAATTTAAATATACGTGTTGATGTATAAAACTTCAGTGTATGTCTTAGTGAATATGTCTTTCTCTCTACTTTTTCAGAAAGGAACCCAAGAAGTCTTAAAATATTTACGAAGCAAGATTAAAGGTATTTTTCAATATTCTGTATTCTGAAGGAATATTAAGGTAGTGAAGTGTGCCTGGCTGGAATGGCTCAGTAGATTGAGCGTCATGCCATGGAGTGAAAGATCCCAGTTCGATTTCCGGTCAAGACACATGCCCGGGTTTCGGGCTTGATGCCCAGTAGGGGGTGTGCAGGAGGCAGCCAATCAATGTTTCTCTCTCTCTGAAAAATCAATAAAAACATATTTTAAAAAAAGAAAGAAACGCCCTGGCCGGTTTGGCTCAGCGGTTAGAGCATCGGTCTGCAGTCCAGAGAGACCCAGGTTCGGTTCCCACTAAGGGCACATACCTCAGTTGCAGTTTGTCCCCGGCCCTGGTTGGTTGTGCGGGGGGCGACCACTCGATGTGTCCCTTTCACATCGATGTTTCTCTCTCTCTCTCTGTTCCTCTCTCTCCTTCCCATTCTACCTGAACAAAAAATGGGAAAATGTCCTCAGGTGAGGATGATAAAAAAAAAAGAAAGTGAAGTGTTAATAGTATATAAATTTATGTGTATTTTGGGTGCAAATAATTAGAGGAAATGGTTACCGCCAGTGTGGCTCTATAATGAATTTAGTAGGCCATAAGTATATTAAAGTTATAAAAAGATCTATAAATCAACAATAATGATGAACTACCTTTTAAATCTGATTTTTATGTTTCAGTGTACCAAATAGAAAAGCAAAACTGGACTTTTGTGGTATAATGTATGGGTTTTATACACACACACAAATGTGTGGGTTTTATATATATGGTATAATATATAATTATATATAATACATAAGAGTATATGTAACATTGACTGGGAAGTATATTAACACGTATTTGAATTTCTTATGCATTTGCTAAGTTCTGACAAAAAGTAAAGATAAAATACTATTTCAGGATATGCTCATTTAGCACGAACATTTACCAAAAGGAGAATATGATATTATAAATTTAATTTTTAATGTTTTACTAAAACTATGATATATCCCAAATTTCTATTTAATGTATGTCATTGTAGCATTAATATTCTAGCAAAAGCATTAGTTGTATGAGTATATTACTGCAGATACCACTAAACCACTCCAAAACTTAGTGGCTAAATATAGCAGCTGTTAATTTAGCTCAAAATTCTATTCATTATGCACAGCTTTGCCTAGCACCCTTATGGCCAGTCAGTATATGTAGATAATTATATACTTCAGTTTATTCTATTTTCTGCCTTGCCCTGTAAGTAAATTATTAAAATCATATTCTAAGACTGTTATTTCCTGCCAACGAGTTTCCTTTCTTCTCCAAGTATGCTTTTTCCTCCTTCCAGAAAAATTTATTCTGATGTGAATCAGAAGTAATTTCAGAATAATCAGAATGTTTTAAAACTAGTTTAAGATTTACAACAAAATTGAGAGAAAAGTATGGGGATATTCCATATATCATCTAACCCCCATATGTGTAGCTTCCCCCATTATCAATATCACTCACCAGAATGGTACTTTATTTTTATTTATTTATTTATTTATTTATTTATTTATTTACTTACTTATTTATTTTCTTTTTTTTATTTTTATTTTTTATGAATTTTTTATTTATTTTTTTGTTACAGATATTTTACCTTTTTACCCCATTGGCACCCCCCACCCCACCTCCGCCCCATCCCCGATTTAGTTGTCCATGTCCATTGGTCATGCATACATGCATATAAGTTCTGTGGTTTATCTCTTCCCACCCCCCCACCCCCCCAACCCCTCTTCTGAGGGATGTCAGTCTGTGCCCTACTTCCATGTTTCTGGGTCTACTGTATTCCTCAGACTGTTATGTTCATTATATTCCGTATATAAGTGAGATCATGTGGTATTTGTCTTTCTCTGCTTGGCTTGTTTCACTTAGGATAATACTTTCCAGGTCCCTCCATGTCATCTCAAAGGATAAGAGATCTTTCTTTCTTGCCGCTGCATAGTACTCCATTGTGTATATGTACCACAGCTTTTTTATCCATTCGTCTACTGGTGGACACTTGGGCTGTTTCCAGATCTTAGCTATTGTAAATAGTGCTGCTATGAACATGGGGGTACATATATTCTTCCTGATTGGTGTTTCAGGCTTCTTAGGGTATATTCCCAGCAGTGGGATTACTGGGTCAAATGGCAGTTCAGTTTTTAATTTTTTGAGGTAGCATCATATTGTTTTCCATAGCAACTGCACCAGTCTGCATTCCCACCAGCAGTGTATTAGAGTCCCCTTTTCTCCAAACCCTCGCCAACACTTGTTGTTTGATGATTTGTTGATGGCGGCCATTCTGACAAGTGTGAGGAGATACCTCATTGTTGTTTTAATTTGCATCTCTCTGATGATTAGTTATGTTGAGCATTTCTTCATATGTCTTTTGGCCATTTGTATGTCCTGTTTAGAGAGGTGTCTATTCATCTCCTCTGCCCATTTTTTAATTGGGTTCTTTGTCTTCCTTTTGTTGAGTTGTATGAGCACTCTATATATATTGGAAATTAACCCCTTATCTGATACATCATTGGCAGTGATGTTCTCCCATACAGTGGGTTGCCTTTCCATTTGATGATTGTTTCTTTTGCTGTGCAGAAGCTTTTTAGTTTGATGTAGTCCCATGTGTTCATTTTCTCCTTTATTTCTGTTGCCTTAGGTGATGTATCAGTGAAAATTCTGCTCCGAAATTTTGTTGCCTACATTTTCTTCTAGAATTTTTATGGATTCACGGGTCACATTCAAGTCTTATCCATTTTGAGTTTATTTTTGTGTATGGTGTAAGTTGATGGTCTAGTTTCATTTTTTTGCATGTAGCTGTCCAGTTTTCCCAACACCATTTATTAAAGAGGCTGTCTTTACTCCACTGTATGCTCTTGCCACCTTTGTCAAATATTAATTGAACGTATTGCCTTGGGTCCATTTTTGGGTTTTCAGTTCTGTTCCACTTGTCTATATGCCTGTTCTTGTGCCAGTACCAGGCTGTTTTGGTTACAGTCGCTTTGTAGTATAACCTGATATCTGGTATTGTGATCCCACCTACTTTGTTCTTCTTTTTCAAGATTGCTGTGGCTATTCGGGGTCTTTTTTGGTTCCATATGAACTTTTGAAGTATTTGTTCTAGTTCTATGAAATATGTCGTTGGTATTTTGATGGGGATTGCATTGAATCTATAGATTGCTTTGGGTAGTATGGACATTTTAATGATGTTAATTCTCCCAATCCATGAACAGGGTATGTGCTTCCACTTCTTTATATGTTGCTCTGTTTCTTTTTTCAAAAACCTGTAGTTTTCTGCAAATAGGTCCTTTACTTCTTTGGTTAAGTTTATTCCTAGGTATCGTAATTTTTTGGCGCGATGGTAAATGGGATTATTTTTTCAGTTTCTCTTTCTGTGAGTTCATCATTGGTGTACAAGAATGCCGTTGATTTCTTGACGTTAATTTTGTATTCTGCTACTTTGCCAAATTCATTTATTAAGTAGATTTTTGATGGAGTCTTTAGGGTTTTCTATGTATAATATCATGTCATCTGCAAATAATGACAGTTTCACTTCCTCCTTTCCAATTTGGATCCCTTTTATTTTTTCTTCATGTCTGATTGCTGTGGCTAAGACTTCCAGTACAATGTTAAATAAGAGTGGCGAAAGTGGACATCCCTGTCTTGTTCCTGTTCTTAATGGAAATGTTTTTAGTTTCTGTCCATTGAGTATGATGTTGGCTGTAGGTCTTTCATATATGGCCTTTATTATGTCGAGATATGATCCCTCTATTCCTGCATTGCTGAGCGTTTTTATCAGAAATGGATGCTGGATTTTGTCGAATGCTTTTTCAGCTTCTATTGATATGATCATGTGGTTTTTATTCTTTATTTTGTTTATGTGGTGTATCACGTTTATTGATTTGCGAATATTGTACCAGCCTTGCATCCCTGGAATGAATCCCACTTGGTCATGGTGAATAATTTTTTTGATGTATTTCTGGATCCGATTTGCTAATATTTTGTTCAGGATTTTGGCGTCTATGTTCATCAGGGATATTGGCCTGTAGTTTTCTTTCTTCGTAGTGTCTTTTTCTGGTTTTGGAATTAGAATTATGCTGGCCTCATAGAACGTGTTTGGAAGTCTTCCTTCTTCTTGAATTTTTTGAAATAGTTTGAGGAGAATGGGTGTTAGTTCTTTTTTGAATGTTCGGTAAAACTCCCCCGTGAAGCCATCTGGGCCTGGGCTTTTGTTTGCTGGGAGAGTCTTGATTACCTCTTCAATTTCCTTAGTTGTTATTGGTCTGTTCAAGTTTTCTATCTCTTCCGGGAATAGTTTTGGGAGACTGTGTGTTTCTAGAAATTTTTCTATTTTGCTTAGATTGTCGAATTTGTTGCCATATAGTTGTTCATAGTAGTTAATGATCTTTTGTATTTCCGTGGTGTTGGTTGTTACTTCTCCTCTTTCATTTCTGATTTTGTGTATTTGCGTTCTCTCTCTTTGTTTCTTGGTGAGTCTAGCTAAGGGTCCATCAATCTTGTTTATCTTTTCGAAAAACCAGCTCTTTGTTTCATTGATCCTTTGAATTGTTTTTTGGTCTCTATGTCATTTATTTCTGCTCTGATCTTTACTATTTTTTTCCTTCTACTTGCTCTGGGGTTTTCTTTTTGTTTGCTTTCTAATTCTTTAAGTTGTGAGGTTAGACAGTCAATTAGAAATTTTTCTTGTTTTTTGAGGTAGGCCTGTAGTGCTGTGAACTTCCCTCTCAGAACTGGTTTCGCTGCATCCCATAGATTTTGTGTTGTTGTGTGTTCATTTTCATTGGTTTCCAGGAAGTTTTTAATTTCTTCCTTGATCTCCTCGGTGACCCGTTCATTGTTTAATAACATGCTATTTTGCCTCCATGTGTTGAAATGTCTTTGCATGTTCTTGTTGCAATTGATTTCTAGTTTCATGCCATTGTGATCTGAGAAGATGCTTGATATGATTTCAATGTTGAACTTGTAGAGATTTAGTTTGTGTCCTAT